ATGTTGAACTGACAGGTGTTCTAGATGAACTGAGATTACGTCTGATATCACGTTCAGGAGCAGTCGGTCACGATTAACACTCAAATCTTTTAGGCAATGAACACTTTGAATAATACAAATATTTATAATCTTTACATTCCGGCCACTGAAACGACAGCGAAGATGGTGCATGGGAAAGGGAGGATGTGCTTCGCAGCATAAGGTTGGCAGTTTGAATCCTGGCTGCTCCCTGTGCCAAGTTGAAGTGTCCCTGAGCAAGACACTTAACTCCCAATTACTCCACATAAAATTATGTCAAACCATGTGCGTTTTGGATAAAAGTGACAGCTGCATGTATAGTAATGTCCGGTAAGTCAAAGTCATCATCGTATCTCATGAGATACTATCTCATTATGATGACATACAGGACCTGTTTTTCAGTGGCTGACGTGGGCTTCCATACATTAACCTACAACAGATGTAGATGGATTGTGATTCACTGCACTTGTATGTGTATTTCCACCACTTCATAAATATATATGTAACATGCAGTTGAATTACGGTAGTCTGCTATTATTGTAAATTGACAGGTTTAACTGTTTATTCATGACATTGGAATGGAAATTTAACTGTATGTTACAGTTATTATGACATACTGTAAGATACCGTTAGAAATGCACTGTACGTTTACAGCAATTTGTTATAGAGAGATCCATGGCCCTGTGCAGAGACTTTGTAGCTTACTGTCTGATCCATTTGTCTTCATCAATAACTTCCCCTCCTGGATATATTCAAAATAATTTCATGCTTTCCTTTTGCCTTCCCCACAGTAAATGTTTTTCTCCTCACCCCATGTCTCCTCTCCTGGTTCTAAGTTTCTGCCTCACTTGTGATTCTCCTCTCTCCTCCTCCTCTCCCATCTGCCTCTCCCTCTCACTCCCTCTTTGTCCTCCGCTCTCATTCACTGCGAGCCTCTCGGGGCCCGAGGTGAGGACCGACCGACTGACTGCGACTCGGCTGATGAGTTCTCCTTTTCCTCCTCCGTCTCCCCACCGCGGGGACTTTTCTCTGTTCTTCTCCCTCTTCTTCGTCACTGCTTTAACCTCCTCCTCTCCAACCTGTGCATCTGCTTCCCCGCCCCCCAGTCTCTCCCATCATCTTGTAGGATTAATGTACATCCACACGTACCCTGCGGGAGGTCTCCGTAGAGGCAGGGGAAGTTGCTGACCAAACGTGACAGAATAGAACATTTAAAATGTTAAAAGAAGTTAAAAAAACTGTAGCAGGTAACTTGAGATCGAGAGAATATAAAAAATGGTATCTGATAAATTGAGACGTTGTTAATATGAAATGTACGTTTTTCTGGTGTGGAAATGACAATACTTTTATCTATTTGACGGTTTCTTGGTTGTTTCCTTGTCTTGGCAAGGAAAAAAATTGCAGAGATTAAGCCATAACAGTGTGTGTGTGTGTGTGTGTGGAACAAGTTATGGTGAACACATATTCATCTTAAATGAGCCACTAAATACATCCCAAGAAGTAGTGTTTTCCTTTTGGACGTTTGAATTAGAGTTTAACAGAGTAAGTAGACAACGTTTGGCGTCGGGGCCAAACTGTCACATAAGGAGATGAGTCAGGAGCTTGTGGGTTTGAGGTTCAGGGCAGAACAGACTTTGGTTCCTTCTATCCGAGAGGCATTTTTCAATTAGTGAGTTTCCTCCAGATGCCAAAAACACAGGAACACACTGACCTGAATTATATCAGCAAGAATCATATTGACCTAAAACGTACCATATTCACCTTTTCACCGTATTACAAAACAAATAAAATAAAACAGTTTTTCAGGTAAAGTCTAATTCACAAACATCTCATCTTTCAGTGAGAGACTGAAACTCTTGTTCATACAAAAAATGAATCATGTTTTTGCTTCGATGACACTTGATGTGTAAATCTATCTAAAACGTATAAATGTAAAAGTGCGACTTAGTTGACTTAATATGATCACGATGAACTGTTGGTTTATCAGTTCATTTATTTCTGAACTCTTGGTCATAACTTTATAATTTCTGGATTAATATATTCATACATTGTTTCAAATGTTTCTGCATCTGGTCCTTTGAGTTACAGAACACCATTTTACAGTTTAACCTTGTACAATTGCATAATTTTGAGTCAAAAACCCTAATATTTTCTTGAGGCAGGACCCCCACACCCATTTCCTCTCGTTCCTTTTATTTGCTGTAGAAATTATGAAACGTGAATGAGCAACCCACACCCTCGTCTGTCTGTCTGCCTGTTGTTATTTTAAGGCTACAGGCATCATATATATATATATATATATATAGTTAATTTACGTTGACGTACGCACACACAATCAATTGTAAGGAATACACGATTTTACAGCTAGATTCTCACTTACTGACTCACTCACACCTTTTTTCCCTTGATCTCTGCACTGTGTCATCGTGATCATATTAAGTCAACTAAGTCGCACTTTTACATTTATACGTTTTAGATAGATTTACACATCAAGTGTCATCGAAGCAAAAACATGATTCATTTTTTGTATGAACAAGAGTTTCAGTCTCTCACTGAAAGATGAGATGTTTGTGAATTAGACTTTACCTGAAAAACTGTTTTATTTTATTTGTTTTGTAATACGGTGAAAAGGTGAATATGGTACGTTTTAGGTAAATATGATTCTTGCTGATATAATTCAGGTCAGTGTGTTCCTGTGTTTTTGGCATCTGGAGGAAACTCACTAATTGAAAAATGCCTCTCGGATAGAAGGAACCAAAGTCTGTTCTGCCCTGAACCTCAAACCCACAAGCTCCTGACTCATCTCCTTATGTGACAGTTTGGCCCCGACGCCAAACGTTGTCTACTTACTCTGTTACGTCCAACAACAACGTCCAAAAGGAAAACACTACTTCTTGGGATGTATTTAGTGGCTCATTTAAGATGAATATGTGTTCACCATAACTTGTTCCACACACACACACACACACACACACACACACACACACACACACACACACACACACACACACACACACACACACACACACACACACACACTCGCCTTTTACAGTTACCACAATCTGGTTCAATTTTTCCCAAATCCTTTTTTCATTGTTTATTGATCTTTTCATAACTCCACTTATAATTGTAGATAAATAATATTCATGAATGCAGACACACACAAATGAACATAAAATGTAAACATTTATCATTTATTTTATCAAAGTCTAAAATAAATAAACTAAACTGATCCATGTTCTACTATGGATTTTCTCCAAACAAGATATTTAAATCTTCTTTGGATGATACTAATCATTTCCATACAACAATATGATTGTTCTTGCTCATTTAAAGTTGTTATTAATCATTAATGATTGTTTTTTTTTAGATCATATTACAGGAAAGGATTATTCAACATTCAGCCTTTGCCACTCTTTGGCAAAACAACAACTTTTCCTCAACAACAATCTTTCTCAATCTGTGTCTGCATGTCGAGTTCTGCTGTCCTCTTGACCTCAGCACTCTTTCTCCAACTCTCCATTTGAGTGGTTGCGGCTAAGCTGGTACGGTCAACAATTTTAATGGACTGTTTTGTGTGTGTGTGTGTGTGTGTGTGTGTGTTGGGTTAAATTTTAATTTGATCATTTTTCTGAACTGTGTTATTTGTCGTGTCCATTGTCTCATTGTCTTACTTAGAAAGCACCAACTGTCAAATTCCTTATATGTCTGACATTCTTTGGCAATACATGTTCCTGATGGTGGTGGTGGTGTAGATGGTGGGCCCAAATGTACACGCACAGCAGTTCTAATTCAACCAATTGATTTGATTTCCCAACCATCATGGGAAGAGAAAAAACAAAACGAACGGACAAACAAGGCAAACTGTCCAAAAGGAACTGGAACTCCCACTCCGGTGTGGAAGCCGGAGGTCCGACACCATAATCAGAGTCTGTTAAACTGAGTCGGTGTACTCCATGGTACTCCGCGGGTCTGATGCTGCAGTACAGAGAAAAAGAAAACACGCACAAGCTGGTCAGGTTAACTTGATGACGAGCCCAACGGCACCTGACAACGAGTCTGGGAAACTCAGTGCTCCGGATTAATGTGAAGCTAAAAATGCACCGATAAAATAATCCCACATAAAGATAAACATGATTCTTACGATACTGTCTCTTTAGTGATATTTCTTTTTCTCACAACTTGATTTAGTTCTCTTCCAGCGGGTTCAGATTATATTCATATGTCCATGGTGTTTAAAGTGTATGATTTTCTTCTTAATTGTTTTGTTTTATCTCCCACATAAAGCAAAAAAAAACTTTAATTTGAGAGAAAATTGTATTTGAATTGATACATTTTCCAAGCGAGTGCTGGCATCTGCATTCCAACTTTCCTGATTCAGGGAAAATAAAGACAACTTCAAGAATGAACCTGTCTGTTGGAGACAGATGTGTCCTCCGTTATAAAGCATTGTCCTTATTGTGAGGATCCTAATTATTTTAAGATCGCACAAACAGAATTGATTTCATAATTGCTTTCAACTTTAAGAACTTGGACCATTGAACTATTGGAGCACTATTCTAATGCTTTGAGAAAGTATTGTTCTTCACAATAATCCTGAAAACCATTTGACCTCCGGGTGTTCATTCAAACATGTGGAATTCATCCGTTAAGATGCCGGTCGGACACTGTATTGTCACTGGTTCTGCAGTCGTGCATGTGAGTTTCTCATTATGAGGAATAACTGAGGCGATGTGTCATTATCGCAGACAAGTATTGGTGTTTTTTTCTCAGTGTTCATAGCTGAACTGGTTACAGAGGCCAAAAAGATATTAAAAACGAACTCATTTCTCGCTGTTGGACTACGGCTCATTATTTAAGATTGTTGTGCGCAAACATGACAGGTGGAAAAAGCAGCCGTCGATCGGGTCATTCTTTGCACCCCGTTGTGTGTCTCTGTGCACGAGAGCCACTAAAAAGTGTCCTTCTTTTTTTGTTTTCAGGACTTGATTGTGAGAGGAGAGGGGGAACTAACACGCAGGAGGAGGCAGTGGGACAAACTGGTTCGACTGGGACACACCCGGCACACAGTCATCAAATCCCAGTGTGGGAAGGTAAAAGGCCGTGACCTTTGTTTGCTTGAGTATGAGTGGTTCCGGTTCCGGTGAACATATATGAACTTAATCAAGATTAAAACAAAACACACAATATTTCTGAACTGTTCTGATGCGAAATTGATGAAAAAACATTTTTTGGGGGAGGGGGAAACTGAAACTGAAACTGAAACGTAAAAAAGTAGAGTTTTATTTTTTATTGATACAGTTAAACCATTTAATTTGTTAAAAAGATCAACACGCTTATGATGATTTGCAGAAAGTGTCGTGCAATGTTTTTGGAAGAGGGGCATCAGGTTTATGATCCTTTTTGAGAAATGTGGTGTGTGTCAAAAACTGTGAATCAAATGGAGAAAGTTACATTACATCTAGATTTGATGCAGCATAGACGCCAATAAAAAAACGTCCCAACATTTTAGCAAATATTTGTAGTTTAAACTATTTTCAGATAATTAGGAGTTATTTTTCTGTTATATATTCTGTGTTAAAGATGGGGTTTTAATTAGTGTTTTACCAACTTTATTATCTCAAGAGTGTGACTGACTGTCTCACTGTGTTTGTATGGGTCTGATTCTGTTTTTGAGCATCTACGCACAGATGTGAATTAGTCTATAATATAATATAATGGTGGTGTGTGTTTGTTTAAGTCTGAAATATCTAGATGCATTTAAAGTAGGGCTGTCAATAGATTTAAAAAACACTGTTGTTTAATTGTTAATTAAACACAAAACTACACACATTTGGAGGCAGAATTCCACCTGGTGGAACATGTTAAACTAGGGACTCTGTCCACTTTGCTCTCAACTCTCATCATTTAACAGGTGTGTTTGAAGTGCCAAAAATCTCAAAACCTTTTTCTTTTAGGGACACAGTGGTGGTCCTCTGCAGACTGTGTGCCGCGCAGGGTAACGTTAGATGTTGAGATGGAAGTAGCCTAGCAGCTAGCTTAACTTGCTCGTTAACTACGTTGAAATATTTTGTTGCATTCATCTAGGCCACATTAATCGCAGCCCTAATTTAAAGACATGCATGCACACACATGTACACACACACGTGTACTGTACATGCAACCGCACACATGAATCCTGTGAGTTACATTTCGATAATGTATAAGTCAAATTGGTAAAAACATTTTTTGAGAAGGAAAAACAGTTCACAGTAAATAAAGTACGTACGTCAATAGTGACACACACACCTGCAGGCTGGAAATGTGTGTGTCCAATTACCATCCTCAAAAGGTCTACTTGAGAGAAGGATATTCAAACATACAACATGTACTAAAGCACCGAAAGAAACGTTTGTAATTTGATTCTAATTTATTAATGAAGTCAGTAACTTTATTTTGTACATGTTTAATGTTTAGTTTTCTTTCTAACAAAAAAAACAGATTATTTTATGTAAAACTTATTTTGCTCTATTTGTGTTGTATAAAAACAAACTTTTTTGTTATGAATACATTTGAAAAGTGTGTGTGTGTGTGTGTGTGTGTGTGTGTGTGTGTGTGTGTGTGTGTGTGTGTGTGTCTGTTCCCGCAGTAGCGTATTAATAGTTTGCGACCGCGTGTTTGTGTGCATAGTGGGTTTAATGTACCGTCACACAGTTTTCTAATGTCTCTTTCCATGTTTCTTTCAAGATAAAAAGGAGAAAAGGACAACAAGAGTGCAGCCTCTAAAGTAAGCTACCTGCAAAAGTGGAGACTCACATCCACACGTGTGTTACATGTTCTATGATGTATGGCACACAGAAATAACAATAACAATAACATGGACTTAGAATGCATACACACATTCTACTTCATTTGAGCTCAAAATTACTGAAACACATTCCAATATAGTTTGAGATTCACTGAACCGATCTTGTGAATTACAACATTTCTCAGCTCCTACTTTATTTAAATGTATTTTAAAGTTGCCATTGATTTAGAATTGAGTTTAAAGCTGAAAATTAAAGAATTAGAACATTTACATTCAGCTGGAATTGTTTGCTTCCAAATCAGTTTTATATTTACATACAATTTTGAGAAGCTACAACATGCAAATATAACATTGTTATCATTATAAGCGTCTATAAAGAGATGAACTGAAGCGTGTTAATGGTTAGAGACCATTAACATAAGCAGGGCAGAAATGTGTCAACGGAGCTTTGATCTATTCGTCATGTGTGTGTTTGATACTGGTGCATGTGTGTAAACTCCATATGCGGGGCAGAAGTCATCTGTTTCCATTCCAGAAGTGTTTGAGGGGTTTTCTTTGCGCTGTCCACCTCTGTGGTGCTGAAATTCGCACCAAGGAGGAGGACAGCGACAAACAAAATAATTCTGGAAAATACCTGGTGTTTGAACTGCAATATCATCAAGAAAAGTTCACTGTGTATTAACATCATTCTTATTTTGAAAAGTGGTTTGAATCAGATAGTTGACGGGTTTTTTGCTTGACAAAACAAGTCTCACACATGTGCGCCGTTGTGTCTTTTTTAAAAATTTTAATCTGTACTTTTTATCTTTAATTGTTTGTGCTCAGCTGATTCGTCAAGTCGAACGTGGACAGATTGTATTTGCGGTGTGTGAGTGGAAACATGGGTTTAGTGTAAGAGTGATCCTTTCAATCCCTTTGTGTTAGAGGAGGGAGCAGAAACTTACATGGAAAAAGGCTTTGTGTTGCAGGATTTAAGGGAGGTGCCGTGTGTGTATGTGTGTGTGTGTGTGTGTGTGTGTGTGTGTGTGTGTGTGTGTGTGTGTGTGTCGATACTAGAGGTGAATATACGTTTTGCGTACACAAAGAAAAGAAACTGAAACAGAAAGGTGGAGCCTGAAGTGTGTGTCTTCGTGCCACAAACTGAAATAAATAGACCATTCATTTTTTTTTTTTCCTGAGTATTTGAAAGGAAAAAAATCGAGCACAATATGCAGCGATATTGTTTTAGAGGCGGTTGTGCCGAATGTGCACTTTCTCTGTTTGCTTTGCGTGTTTAAAGATTGTGTTGAGATTTCAACATAGAATTATAAAGAAACTAATCAACATTTTCTTTCTTTTTCAGCTGTCGGACTGCGAGGAAACTACCGACAGGGGGACTCACAAAACGTCCGATAGTAGTTGGTGTGAGTGTGTATGAATGTAGTGAATTGAATATTGTTGGCAAATATTTGTGTTAAAAAAGTAGCTCCAAATGGGAGACGGCAAGATGATACGCGTTTATTAAATTGTACTTGTATATATAATATTAAAAGTGCAACCAGTGCTGGAAAAAGTTTATTTATTAAGATTATTTAGTGACAGACTGCATTGTTGTAAATACATTTACATACAAACATCATCATAGATGCTCCGAGATTTGTGTAATTAATTTCACCCGGTTTGCAATTGTTAAACAACAGCTGCTCCTTCCTCTCCCTCGGTCACGTTGCCTTCGATCCTCTCCACTTGTGTCAAAAAATGCGAGCAGCTGGACGACGGCCGTCCGCGCGTGGACACATTTTTATACTCTGGTCCCTCTGCTGAGCACACGACAGGCTTTTGTTTGTGCCAGAGAGCATCCGTGTGTCCCAATTTTATGTTTAGTTTGTCTCAGTATGAGAGCGAGAGTTGCGTTTGTGTGTGTGGGGGGGGGGGGGATCTCCTTCTGGTTCGTCCTGCTGAGGAGAAATGAGGTCGATGTGAAACAGCCTGCCTGGCTCATTTATGTGCATAAAGATGTTAAACAAGTTCATTAAAGCTTTGGGAAAATCCACATGCCTGTCAAAGTGTTTGTGTTACGCACACGTCACATATCACGATGCGGTGTCTTGGTCGGGGGGGCGCTACTATCGCGAGAGTCTTGTAAAATAAAGAAGACGCGAAAGTTGGATTGGGGATTGTAGTTTTTCCCGTTTGGGGAGCCTGAACTCGACTGTGTTGCCACATGAGGCAAATGCGGACGTATTCATGTAACGGACGGAAATGTGCAATCGGAAACGTATCACTGCATCGGCTGCCACGTGTTTTAGTGGTTATCAGCAATATGATGCAGTCGGAATACCTGCAATAGAAGAGTGACTCATTTCTAGGTGGGAGCATGCTGACCTCACAGAACGGCACCCCTTTAGCCAATAAACTGCCACCAAGCGCCCTCTGAGGGGCGGGATCAGCAGCAAACACTTCTCCAATGAGGGCATTATTTAATTCATAAAGTGGTGTGGGCAGTTTTTTTTATGAACGCGTGGGTATGCAGGGTTTCGTAATCTGAGTGAAACCAAGAAACCTGCTCCGGCGAGAGCCAATGACGGGCCTCGCATGGGAGCTGGCGTAATGTCGGACCAATCGCTACTCGCCCCGGTCGCCCTTCGACCCGCCCTCCTTCATAGAGAAAATCGAATGAATGAGGGAGGCTCGAGATGATGATCGACGCGGAAATGCGACCAACCGGCGGATTGGATCAGCCGAGGGACGTCCGTATCAGCCAGTGAGAATCCGAAGAGGGCGGGATGGAGGGAGGGGGGGGGGGGGGGGTGCGGGTGTGGGGGTGGGTGTGGGGGGGGGGGGGGGGGGGGGGGCGGTGCACTTCAAATCAGGCTAGACAAGTGTTGGGGAGTTGGGGGGGGGGAGTGTGAGAGTGTGATGCTACAACCTCCTTATAAAGGGACTCTCGCTCACGTTGCGGCTCGGAAATTAGAGCACATTGCCTAAAAGTGCGATCTCCACGCACGCACTCACTCACTGACACGCACGCATCCACACACACATCCACCGCACACGCCGAGCGCCGCAGCCATGAACTGGATGAACGCTGAGGAGACGCTCCGCAGGGCCGAGGCGCCTCTCTTCTGGGTCGGCGCGTTCACCGTGGCCTCGCTGGCGCTGTGGCTGCTCTACAGGCTGCTCTCGGGCTTCAGGATCTGGGTGCTGGGGAACGGACAGCTGCTCTCCCCGAGGCTGGGCAAGTGGGCAGGTGAGTTCTGGGTTCACGTCAGCTTCCTTGCATCCTACATCGCGGTCACGAAGAGGGCAGCTCACCAAAAGTAGGCAGGTGGACTCGACGTCCATTTTATGGGGAGGGGGCTTTAGCTCAAACTCTACTGCACAGAAGCTTCATTCTGTGCGTGTTTGTAGTCTAATTCAAGGGGAGGTTGATGTTGCGTAACAAGCGCAAGTAAGCAGCTGTTTGACTGGCAAGATAATGGTCCTTATTAGCTCAATTGGTTATTGGCCCCTCCCTTCCCGCGTCAAACGATTGGGGGGGGGGGGGGCGTGTGTGTGTGAGGGGAGGGGGGGGGCACCCCACATTGGTGAGCCGGGAGCCAAATTGCGCAGCCTATGCGCACTTTTCAGAGGGCTCTCAGCCGGCGCGCCACTCGAACCTATTGGCCCAACCGCATGATGTGAGACAAACCCCTGTGTCCAGTTAAAACGTGACCCACATGAAGATCGTTGCCACGGCTTCGTCTTTCCAAAATGTCACATTGAACTCGTCTGTCACAATTTGAACCCCCCCCCCCCCCCACACACACACTTTGTATATTTTCTGATCAAGCAGTGTGTTGTCTCGCTTCCGCTCGGGTCGTCGGTTTCTTGTCCCATTCGGGGTTCCCTAAAGATCGGCGTGGAGATTAAAGGCTCTTTAAATAGAAATCCCCCCTTAATGAACTTGGGGGAAACGAGGCTTTTAAGTGTATTTTAGTCTGGATGAGACTGGGCCCACCAGAATCGCCCTGCCATGGCTTGACCCCACTTGTCCCAGTCTTCCTGTTTGGAAAGAAGACCTGCTGCGCAATTTTGCCCACTCGCTCACCTTCGCATCGGGGGTAGGTGTGATCATCTCAACACCACTAAACCCGACGACCCGGGTGATTGGAATGCTTGACGTTGTCTCTTTTCCTTGTAAAAACTCCTGTTTATCTGCACCTTGACGTGCTTTCCCTCCAAATCGTCCTCTATTGTAGTGTTGTAATGACTTGAGCGTTAAATTGCTGCGCTGTGCGCCATAAGAAGCGACGACACTCACGACGCAAAGGTAGCGTACGTTGAGGAATGACTAGTGTACGTTTTTTTTTTTTTTTATGGTTCTTGTGGAATAATGCGACGGCATACCGGTCGACACCGATGAGTCATGCGCTTATTCACCGCTTCGTCATCCGTTGGTCTTATAGAAATGTGATACACCCCCAGTTTCTCATCAGTTATTTCTTTTGATTCAGTATAAAGTGTTTTTCTGTCAAATCATCAGTTTTCAGAAAAGTTTCTTGACTTAAGGTTCGCGAAAACTAAACGTTTAAAACGCCGTTCACATGAATTCCATCGCACCATCTTTCTTTGCACACTTAAACTTAACTGCCGCTCCCTGAAACCAGTTCTGTGCACCAGTCTGACATGCCAACGGCAGTAGCATGGCAGGAGGTGAACAGGTGGAGGAGGGGAGACGTTTTCTGAGGATGTGGTGTCCTCGCCTCGCTGTACCCGATGTGCAGGTCTGGCCCGCTCAGGTTGGGAGGAGTTTCACTCTTTAACGTATTTTCGTCCACATCCCTCACGGACCCAGTCTTTCTGGCTGCGCAGTTGCACAATACTTTGTTTTAGCTGTCTGCTGATTTTTAAAGCGTGTTTTTCTCTACCTCCAACAATCCACTTTCTTATGAAAGAATGTACTAAATAGTGCACTAATGTCATTTTAACAAATACGTTGACTATATATGAACTAACAATGAAGCCACTAATGTTAGTATCCATTCATGTGATATAAGAGGATATTTGCTCGTCATTTAGCTTCCCCTTTAGAAACATGTACTTTTTTGACGAACCAGCTTTTCTAGAAATAACGTCTGGGCTGATCCCTAAAACATGTGCCTCTCCATGTGCTTAAGGATGTTGTTGCAACACAGGAGACAACTGGTATTTCCTGATCAGGCAGGTCTGAGTATGTTGCAGACAGACTGTTAGAATTCCCTGAATTGAAGTTGGCCTAAGCCTAATTTTTAGTTTAGTTTTTTCGTTCGGCGTTATTGTGTGTTATCGCTGCTGAAGGGGTTTCTCTGGAGTTCCTCTGCTGGTCTTCCCCTTAGGAGAGGAGACTCCTAGCGGCAGAGGTGAAGCACTGCGGCTTCCCCAGCCTTTCCAGCGCACCGTGCATCCATCCACCCACGGCCGCCCTCCACAGCCAATCAATGCGTGCAGCTCAGTTTCTTCTTTTAACCTGGGGTCAAATAATGGCCCTTCTTTTAGAACATTTTTATTTCTTATTTATGTCCTGCAGAGTTTGATGTTATTTTTGTTATATTGTGGATGTCTGTTCTTTCTTATGATGCAGTGTACTCCATGCATCTGTCAAGGTCCAGTACCTGCAAGTAAATGAGACCAAAGGAAGCTTTTTCCAAAGTCTGGCAGTATTTTGGTTTTATTGGATTTCTGAATTGACTACTTTAGTGGTGCTGTTTGTTAGTAACACAAATTGCAGGCGAGTCACAGAAAAGGCTTATTATGAGAGAATGCATTTCAGGCAAATTTATGAATAGGCTGGCTTCATTCATGGGCAGGAAATGCACACATGTGAATGGTATGTTTCAACTGAGGCAGGGTCTCGTGTCTTCAACCTTGTGAATGTGCTTCCCCCTAGTGCTTTGTGTGGGCGAGAGAGCGAGAGAAAACACTGCTTTTCATGTGATGAACACGCTCTGTGGCACGTGCCGCAGCGAGGGATGCTGGGTAAAATAAAAAAAAGAGAAAAAAAATTCCCTGCCTCTCCCTCATTTGAAGCTCTTCTCACTCCCCCTGACCATCTTGTACTCTCTTCCAGGCTGCAGCACCATCTTCCTCTTACCTTTACCGCCATCTCCATTATCCTGGAGCTAAGATACTTTTATTCAATGAGCAACAAAGGAGTCTATTCAAATCTGAAATGGAAATACCGCAGCTTCAAAAGCACTGTTTTCTGAAGTTGTCACACGCTGTTTTCTAAACTACAACATGAGCATTTCTAGATGGAATGTTTGCATCTAGTAAACTGACTTTCTTTAAACAGATTATTTGTTAAATGGTCTCGTCCTGCAACTATTGTCCTGATTAACTGTTCTAGTAGTCAAAGTTCTTGGAGCCCAGAGTGACATCTTGACACTTGATTATCAGGTTTACTGCCAAATAAGACGTAGAAAAGCAGCAAATGCACTGAATTTTAGAGGCTAAATCAAGGTATTGTTTGGTGTAATTTATTGATTCCATATTGTCTTTAAAAAATATATACATATATTTAAGCCTTCTACTCTGATATTGAATTTCGACTGCACCCAAGTTTGCTCAACTTTCCTGCTGAACCACATTTTACACACGCCCCCAAATTACCAAGGCGTCAAGTGCAAAAATGAAGGCTCGCTGTTGTCACACAATATTGGGCCACCAGCACATTTGGAATTGGTGGTTTATAGCTGCCATCTGTTAAGTGACACATTCCTTCAACGGTTTCAGTCCCACATTCCAGAAAAGCAGTCATTTCAGTTGTCTCTGAGACGTCCTTGTGAGGCATTTTGTCTTTTGTTGGACAAGCCCAAGTATGTGTCAAGTCATGTTCTCATAGAAGTCATTGTGTAACCTCCGTAGCACTTTAACCTGAAAAGAGTTTATTAGATGCTGCTATATAATTTTTTTTTTTTTTTTTTTTTTTAAACTCCTTTTTATTTTGTTTTCAACAACGTGCTCTTTCAGACAGTTACTTTTTTTGTCCACTTTAGTTGTATGTAGTCTTGGTACACGTGATATTTGGATGCACTTCAACAGAAAAAGGGCTAAATTAAAACAAAGAAATAAAATCAAGGGATGAATAAATAATGGTTGTCGCTGCTGCTATCTTGAGCAGCTTCGTAGATGTTCTTTCTCGGTCTCTCACCCGCCCTCCCCTCATTCCTCTCTCCTCCCCCGGCCCGATCAAGCTTTAGTATCGTTGACTGTTTATATTGGCCATGTGACTTTCCTCCCCTGCTATTTAAAGCTGCCATTGTGCTTTGGAATGCTGAAGGTGGGCAGATAGTGTGTGTTTTTGGTTGGGGGGGGCGTATTCTGCATTTGGATATACTGCTGCATCTCTCCCTCCCTCCCCATTGCTGAGGTGGGATGGGCTGCTTGTTGATGGGCGCGTTTGGGGTGCGACAGATTACATAATGAGCGTGTACGGGGCATACAAGGAGCGAAGTCTCCTCACGGAGAATCTTAATTGAGGTTTTAATGTGGGTTTGGACAGTTGGGGGGGGCAGGGCAGTCTGTCTCAGCATAGGCAGTTTACAAAGTATTGTCTTTCTCTCCAACTAAACTCATATCCTTATTTTTATTAGAAGGGGAATTAAAAGATGTGAAGTTTTTAACCTGAGCGGCTCGTCCTCAAACGGTTCCACGGTGTTCTCAATGAAAAGAATCTTCACATCAGTATCGGTGGTTATATACTCATCATATCATTTTTCTTCCAGCCTGCAGTGCTCATCTGGGCTTTCGATGTAGGGCTGAGGATGCAGCAGCAGCCTGGTCGTCGTGGTGATTTGGGGGGCGGGGGCCTTGTTGGTATTCAGAGGCTGCGGCAGGCTGCTCCCAGACGAGGCAGTGCAGGCGCGCTGCTATTTTTACTCCTCCTGCTGCTTTTTTTAGACCCTCAGAATAGTGAGCAGGCAGGGGCTGCTCCACCAAGGAGGGAGGGAGACTGAAAAGGCTGGGGGGAGTCAATACGGAGCACGGCAGAGCTGCGGTGGAATGCGCCCCCGTCAGGCCGGATTTGGAGCCACGGTGGACCAGTTAGGCGCTGGGAAGAATGGAGGGGAAACTGGGAATGAATGAGAGGGAGCAGTGCGCGCATCCCCCCCCTCCCTCCCTCCCTCAGCACACGCGTGAACACATTCATTCATATTCACACGCTTACCCCCGCCATCTCCCAAATGCAGTTTCTTTTCTTTCGCCATTGCACACAGCTCTCACACGCGGCGGCCTCCATCAACACGCACTCTGCCTTTTTGTGGTCTGAGTGTGAGTCTCCTTTGTCGTCCAGCGTGGATTCACGGTCGAGGGGTTCCCCGTTGTTGGTGGCATTTCATTCTGCTGCATTTCAGGCGTGGCCGATAATCTGTTGGTCTGCAATATGTTTTGTTCGTTGTAACTGACGGAAACTCTGCGACAAAAAGGAAGTAACTCAAGGAGCAGTGTCCTCATCTCACTGGACTTCCTCCACAAACGATTAGACATCAGTCTGAAATTGTTAGAATTGCGTGTAAAGGCCCATTCTCCACACTGCTACGCTGCCTCAACTATTTCAAAAGATGCAAACCTGCAGTGAGCAAGGTTTTCCACTGAAAAAGCAGCAAGCTTGGCTGATAGTAATGTTCTCGTTGTTTAGGGATGAGACGGTGGGAGTTTTTCAAACCGTCAGGCCACACGTGTTTAGCTGCAAAACACATTCTTCTCCTTTTCGGTTACGGTTGAAATGGCGTCGCTGTACGTGCATTTTAACACATTCTTGCGCACCAGGTGCAACGCTCTGCCCGTGAAACTCTGTCATGCAAGAAGGTGACACCCCAGTGGCCTTTGGGGTAATTTGCTGTGCCATTTGACAGGAATGTGGCTCTTCTTGTTTCTTCTTTCTAGTTCAGCTGACTCTCTTCGGCCTCCGCGAGGGCTCCGTAGGCCGAATTCGAGAGGAATCAGTCGGTCCTCACTTGATGGAAGTTTGTCCTGCTGTTGCAATCTAGTGACCTTGTAACTTCGGTCGTGTTGGCTTTTGAATCAAAAACAAATCGTTTGACTTTTCCTCGCTCCCCTTAAAAACTTTATGAATTGTCATCAGAGAAAAAGCAGTTTTTGGAGAGTTGACATTTTATGAATATAGGATTTACATCAGCGACGTGTTCAACGTTCTTCTGGCCTGCATTTGTTGTGGATCTGAGAAACGCAACTCGTCTCATCTTCCACCAACCACCCTCAGCCATTTTAGTTTGCAGCAAATGTAGCCTCTCCCTGCCTCTGTTTGCCCCCACCTGCCGGACTTGGTACAGCCCATTGAGGCTTTTCTGCCGAGGATTGTTTCATTCTTAACACGAAGGTCTAAAAATAACCAGATTCTGCTCCCTGTTTTCACTTTTGACTTTGTGCCACTCTCACTTGTTCTTTTCTCTCCTCCTCCCCTCCGCCATCTCCGCTCTTTCTCCTTCACCCATTCGTTTTCTTGCTTCGCTCCAGTTCTATTTTTAGCCCGGCCCTAGGATCCCTCCCTGCCCCACTTCACCCTCCTCTTCTGTGGCGCTCCATGTTCGTCATCACTCCCTCCTCTCTGCGTCCCCTCTCTCATCTTGTCTTTTTTCCTGCTCCCCAGCTCTTTGCCAGAGAATGTCCTCCACGTCCATTAATCTTTCATTAAGCCTGGCTGATCATATATTCATGATGCGCGACTGTTCGAGTATCCCTCCCCGCCACCACCACACCCCCTCCATTGTATTTGTTTGCCCCCCCCCCCCCCCCCCTCATTCCGTCCTCATTTCCATCCTCAGTCAAGGAGCTTGGGTTGATGGGCAGTGAATGTTTAAAAATAGCCCCGCTTGCTTGACAGGGTTAGGAGTACGCAGAGGAAGAACATCCGCTCCCGGTCTCTTTTCCCCCCCCTCTACTACCCCCCCCCCCCCCCACACCATCACCGTGAGGCCACTTTACCATCATATCTGTCATTGTATGAATTCTTTCCCCTTGCTGTTCTGGTCGTTTCTGCCCCCTCCCCCTGTCTTAATTGTAGATTGGCTTGATTTAAAAAAAAAAAAAATAATAATAATAATAATTTAACCTGCAGTCAGATAAACGACTCTTGAAGATCCCCTTCAGGAACTGTGAGCGTAGAGGTATCAGCGGGTGTTGAGGGCTTTGTGAATCTCGTACCGTCTTCGATCTTTGTTCTCCTTCAATCTACACCATCTTATCTCTGCCTCTGTACAATCTCAGTCCCCTCTGTAGACTTTGTCCCTGAATCTTTGATTGGGCTCCTATCTATATTATCTTGCATCGTATTTGTAAATCTGCTGCATAATGGACTCCCTGTTTTGTTTTTATAAATGTGTTCCCCGCATCAAAATAAAGCTCTGTTTGTAGAGCTTAGAGAGGCGTTCTTGAATCGTAGGCGAATAGTGTTGCCGGGTGCGGCCGAGAATGGATTTGCTCCCCACTAAAGTCTTGTGTGATCTCCATGTTGGGCCTCTGAGACCTCATTGTGACACCTGGAAGCTGTCAAACCTGATGTGAAGGCGTGTTGCAGCCCGTGAACAAAGATCACATTTTTTTGTTTTATATGTAGTGCTGTCATGAGACGTAAAGACAATAAGAGCTTCTGTAGATGATGGATAGCCAGTGAAATACCAGTGCTACTGGTGTCATGTCGTTCGACGGGGTTAAAGAATCACATCATTCATTCTCAAGAAAAATGAGCCATTCTTGACTTTTTGGGGACTTTTCTAATAATTACTCCCTTATTCATTTAACAGAAGCTTACTCGACCTCTGGCTGAATAGTGTGTTGTGAAGACAACCTTGCCTTATATATATCTCTCTCTCTCTCTCCAGTTGTGACGGGAGCCACGGATGGAATTGGGAAATCCTATGCGGAGGAGGTGAGGCTCCAGGACCCTTATTTATTTAATTTCTGCCATGGTGAATCTGTGACGCGCGCACACACGCACACGCACACACCGTATTTGCTCATAGGCCACTGGAGGGAAAAGCTCTTATGGGCCTATTAATGTAGAAAAGACTCCTCGGCACTTACAAGGAAAGTCCATACGTATAATGAGCCCACGTTGGAGGTGGGTGTGGCTGGCTGTATGATGGTCATGTAGTGGAGCTAGCTGGTGGTCACACAGCCGAACGCCAACATTCTACCTGGTGTATTAAGGCAGAGACGGGCCACCTGTTTGAGTGGTGATGATGAACCCCCCCCCCTCTGTGACCTTAACTGTTAAATTAAATCCCTTTTTTTTGAGTGGCTTGCTGTGCACAGAAACATCTCGTGCTGATTTGAGCCTTTGTGCGTCTGAGGACTTGGAGGGAAAGAAACCAGGCTAACCCTTTAGACTCTACAGTCTGCTTTATTGGCCCCGTATGCATACGTTTACAAGGAATCGGTTGAAACCGTTGCTTTCAACCTCCCAGAAATGGACAAACCAGCTTGTGCGTTCGTTGCTAACTGTTGTTTGTTTTGCAGCTGGCTCGTCGAGGATTCGCCATGATGTTGATCAGTCGCTCCCAGGACAAGCTGGATGACGTGGCCATGTCGCTAAGTAAGTGTGCACAAATGGAACATCCCAGAAAGCGGGTTGATGTTGAGCGCACAGTGGATGTATTTTCACCGCTGCTACAAATGTGTGCAATTTTTCCATTTTTTAAAAAAGTGATGAGAGCGTATCGAGTGTTTGTTTCACCAAATCTCACTTTGAGAGTAGTTTTTATTCTTGATGATTTTAGGAACCATCTGTTCCTCCGAGGTATTAGTTGGAAACAAGAACTCTCGTTCCTCGTTCACGTCTACACATTTGGCAAATGAGCCAGTCTTCTGAAAGAACTTTTTTTATTTTATTTTTCCTCCCCTTTCTGGCCCGTCTCCCAATTTGAACAGATACTTTTCAAAAAGTGCCGTCTCTGACTCCTATGGAGCAATTTCCCCTGTCGTGCGCAGAGTCCACAGAGTGGGCTGATGGGTAGTAACGAGATGCCAAATTCTGGCACTCCTTCCTCACGATTAGGCTGACAAAACTGCCCTCCTCGGCTTGTAGCCTCTCCCACATATCATTTCTTTGTCATCTCATTTGATCGCAGCCCCAGATGAATCCTTCAATTTGGAAATCCTTTTTTTTTTTGCCACGATGTCCGAAGCTTTTATCATTTTCTTTGACATGGACTCAAAGGGGTCATGACAACCGACAATAAACTGGATACAGATCTCAGGGAGGCTCCCAACCCTTTTCATCCCCTTTTTCTTTTTTAAATTGTCATACCTGAGATTCCCCATTTCTTTTCTTTGAATATCCACTCAGACTACCAATCTCCCTCTGCTGCCTATCAGCTAAATGGGTCTTGGGACAATAAATTGTAATTGCAGCAGGTGCGTTAAACCCGCCGTGGAGGGAGGGTTGGAGGAGATGGAGAAGCTCGCTCCGCTGGTTTGCTGGTACACAGTGCCCTCTTCAGTTCTGCTAACTGGTTTTATGCTCCTTTCATTTGACTGGATCCAGGTTATTGAATCATGATTTTGCTGTTTTAGGCCCATGTTTCTGACACGATAATGAGTGGCGGGAAGGCGACATTAATAAGACTTTTATTTTTCCTAACAATGTGACTCTCATTCTTACAGTTGAAGTGCTTTGTTCATTGCCCTGCCTAGATATCATTGTGGCCTTTTTTTTAAAAGGGTAAATGGGACACCGGTTTCTCCCTTTTCCAGAGGAGCAGTTTAAAGTCGAGACCAGAACCATTGCAGCTGACTTTGGCAAGACGGACATCTACAACAAGATCGAGGCGGGCCTGGCTGGTCTAGAAATTGGAGTTCTGGGTAAGAGTTCCAGGACTGTATGTCCAATTACCATTCAACCCTTTCTGGTCAGCAGACACGTGTTGCTGTAAGAACCTGTGTTGCAAGCAATACCAGACAGACTCCATCACTTGACACATGTGTTGGGCTCGTGTTTGATGCTGTGTGTTTGCTCCCTGTGGACTGCGGTGTGGTTGACTCGCTGTGAGACGGGATGCTAGAACACAAAGGATGAACCCTCTTTTGTGCGTGGCGTTTTTGCGAGTGTCCGTTCCTTCTCAGAAAGACCACATCGCAGAAGAAAGTCAGAAAACATTAAATGTTAAAATATTAAAAATGTTTCAAGTTGCATCATGACATCAGCTGCCAGTGTCATTTCAGACGTTTAGACCCGAGAGTTCACGGTGTACTTTTTAGCGGAACGCTGAAAGAACTCGTTGTCCTTTTTTCTTTTATATAAATGATGCCAATTGTGCTCTACCGGTTGTAAGGTGTGGCTGTGTCTCATGTGGGGTGAAACACTGGCCTCTTGTGTTGCCTTTTGCTGCCCCCTGGTGGTACGAACGGGAGCTGGTTGTGTTACTCCAGCACTTTTTTGTTGTTGTGTGGACCCTGTAGAATAATGTCTTTCCTTTTGTCCTCTACAGTAAACAATGTCGGTGTGTCGTACCCCTACCCCGAGTACTACCTCCAAATTCCTGATCTTGACAACGTGAGTGTTTCACTTCTTTATTTGTTAATGGAAGTTCTCTGACGCAAAATAGCTGCTCTCCGCTCGAATGAAGATGAATTAAAATGCTGTCTCGTGCCTCACGTGGCCTTCATCCACTCTACAATCATCTGGTACCTTTTTTTTAATTGTAACACCATCTTGTACGTGGTTGCTTATGTGTCCTGTGCTTTCCGCGTTTCAGTTCATCACAAACATGATCAACGTCAACATCACCTCAGTGTGCCAGGTGAGTTTGTCTCTGCACACCCTCGGGTGGGGGGGGCAAAATATTCCCAAAGTACCCGCAGCCCAATGGGTCGCACGCAACCGGTTTATCTGACCCCTAGTTTTAGTGCCCATCACTCCCACCCCGTATGTTCATTCTCCCTCTTATCCCCCCCTCTTCTGCTGTTTCCTTCATGGTACCTGCAGTGTCTCAGTTGTTCTCAAAGAAACGCTGTCTGTACTCGCCACCCATGCTTTCTCTCCTCTGCCTTACTTTTTCTTTTTGGATTAGTCTTTCCCAGTCCACTCAAGTCTTGTTTGCGAGTTTCATTGTTTTTGTGTGACTGCTGACGGTAACTGGGCTTGTGGTGTTGCTTCTTGTAGATGACTCGTCTGGTGCTGCCCAAAATGACTGAGAGGTGAGTTAAATAACGGGCTTCCATGTTTTGCGACATGACTGCAGTCAAACATCTGGGTTGAGATTGAGGTTGTGGCGGAGATGCCACACAAGCCATCTAAGTATTAAACCGATATTTGGGAAACTGCTTCTGTAAAGGTCCTTTTTTTTATTTTATTAATCTGAAAAGGGGATTAGAGATCCTCACCAAGCCCTTTTTATCACTGCATCTCTTTTCCTCTCCTTTGTTCGCAATGCTGACAGGCTTTCAATTCACACAAAGTGCTCTTCCCACCCGATTGGCTGCTCTGTTCCCATGTGACTCCTGCTGGCCAATAGCGCTGCAGGCACATTTGGTGCCGTGTGAGGCAGGAGCGTTGCTCCACTACATCACTGCAGCAACAGGCTGCCATGGCAACACACACCGCCACTAGCACACAGTTCTAGTGTGTGTGGAGCATCACTTTGTGTATTTGTAAGTGCTCAATGCGTACAGGAAAAAGGTTCCCGGTAGCATCAATCATGCGTTTGTTTTTTTTGTTTGTGGATTTAAAGAAAGGGAGAAAAAGTCTAGAAAATTACATTGATAGCACTGTTCTGGGATCAGCGCTTCACATCGTGAGGGAAGCCCTGTGGTGTAGATTGCGTTGTTATGGCAGCAGTGTTTGGGGAAAAAAAAATCTGAAAATGACATTGTCATTAAATCTACCTTGTCTGTTTCTCAGGTCCAAAGGTGTAATCCTGAACATCTCCTCCGCAAGCGGCATGTACCCCGTCCCTCTGCTTACGGCCTATTCCTCCACAAAGGTATATTTGTAAATTTCTACATTGTGTCACTCATGATGAAGCAAACATTCTCTCTGCTGAAGTAAATTGTTTCATTCAGTCGGTATCTTTTTTTTTCATTATTCATCAGTTTTGGTGGCACCAGACTAACGTTTACCTTCTCATCCTTCTATGTGCAGGCCTTTGTGGATTTCTTCTCTCGTGGCCTCCACGAGGAGTACAGGCGTCAAGGCATCATTATTCAGGTGGGTTTGGGGTTTGTCCAATGGGATTTATTCAGGAGGGGTTCTTTTGGACAAGGATGTGTTAACTGTAAAGATGTCCATCAGGACAGATTTAACATTTCCTAGAAACCTTTGCCTGATGGGATGTATGATTTATCAATCTTATCCTTAATCAGGATAAAAAGAATTTACAAAATTCTGAGCAAACGCATTCATGAATGCGTTTTTTTATTTTTTATTTTTTATACTTTTTCCACACAAGCCTTGTTTTGTTCGGTTTTTAGCACCTTCTATATAGTTCGCTCTGCCCCCTTGTGGTGAAAGTGTTCACTGCAGTTTCACCTCAACAAACCCTCAGTGTGATTTCACGCTGACCCCAGTCATCTGACAAGTGTTTGGCAAATATTTTATGGATTCTTTTTATTTCAGTACATAAAATAGGGCCATTGATTGAAAGGACACATGATGTAACTGTTTATTCTAAAAGATTATTCTTGAAGTGCTAATTTAGTCAAATCCTAAATTGAATGTTTTACATGTAAATCTCCCTCCTTTCGTGAGTGCTAGATCCTCCAGATGAAATTAATAAATGACACACTGGATTTATTTGTCTTTCTGCAGAGCGTGCTGCCCTTCTTCGTGGTCACTAAAATGACTCGTATCAAGAAGCCCACCCTGGACAAGCCCACACCGGACCGCTACGTGGCGGCTGAGCTCGCCACTGTGGGGCTGCAGGACCAGACCAACGGCTACTTCCCCCACGCTGTCATGGTGAGAGGAGGGGGAGAAAAAGCCTAGAAGCTATATAAGAATTTGACAAAGCTTTTGCATCTTATTTCATTGTGTTTCTTTCCTCGCAGGGTTGGCTGACCACTAAGCTGGTTCCGATGAAACTCGTCATCTTCTTTGGCGCCAGGATGAACCGCCTGCAGCGCACTGGGTACCTGCAGCGGAAGAAGCTGCGGGAGCAGAAGAACGGAGGCGCTTTGAAGACCGACTAGGAAGACGTGCTCTTCAGGCCCCGGTGCAGCGTTTAAGGAAAGCGGAGGTTGTGTTGTGGTTTTTGTGTAGATCTCAGACGTGCACCTTCAGTAAGTTTGCACGTGGAAGCACATTTATGACTGTTTAGAAAAGGTAAACTCGGCCCTGATGAGAAATGTCAGGGGTGAAATAGCCAAAGAAGGAATGGGGCCGAAGTGAAAATAAAGTGCTGCTCATGACAAAGGACTTTGAATACATTCAGTCACTGATTCATGATGGAGATTATAAACGACAAAAATAGTGATTTGTTAACCCTGCTGTTGTAAGCAGTGGAAAATGGTGGTGGGAATCTTTTTATATATTTGTAAAATAATTTATTTTATATTTAGTATGAATACACTCTGACAGTTTTTTAAGGCTTCCAAGCTTCCAACCTAGTTCTGTTTACAAACCCATGAGCCGTTTAAGGATGGCAACCTCTGCTTTCTGTCACGTCTGTTTACTTTCATTACTAAACTGCCATCGTCTTGCAATGGTTTCTTTTTATTTTATATATATTCTTGGGTGTTAACAAAATACTTAAATTATACTTTCTGGTGGGTTGTTGTTGCACAAATGTTTTGCTTCTCCTAAACCCGAAGTGTTCTCATTAACTGGTATTGATAAAAAGTGCCTTTCTACGGAGAATGAATGCAGGAAAAGGTCAGGCAAACGAGTGGTTGTCTGGTTCAGAATGTTTTCTGAAAGCTCCATTTTGTGCTTCCTTTTTAATCAAAATGTAAACCTTCAAAGACAGAAAAACCTCAACTGCTGTGCATTTGCAGTCATTCCTCCAGTGTTGTTTTTGAGAGGATTTCACAGGGATCGAGAATATTCCCTTCAGTTGGAGTTTAAAGTAAAGTGCCTAATGCCTACAGACTGTCGCAAAAAACTGAACTGCTCTTCCTCTCACATGTTTATGCACGAATGAATATTCCATGCAACTTGGGCTGACCTGTGCGTAACAAAGTGGTCGTGTGAATGCTTCTCAGTTTTTGTACGGTTTGTCTTTTAAAAAAAAAATATATCTGCTTGGAAATCAAAAAATGTTAATTAAAATTTCTATGTCTAAAATATTGCAAATTGTGTTTTCTACTGTTAAGTTCTGGCATACAGTGCAGTGGTTGTTGTGTTCCTTAACTGATTTAATAACAGGTTTGGGGTTTTAGATGGTTATTTATCATACTTGGTCAGCAGCTCGGTAAAGCTAATGAAATCTGAATCTGAAGTATTCCCTCTTGGTATTAGTAGGAATTGCAATGCTAGCGTAGTTAAAAGCATGTGTTTGAAATGCAATATAATACAATTTACTGTGTGCTTTTTAAAGATTTGTGTTCTAATGTACTGTTTATATTATACTTTTGGATTCATTGCAAAGCTGAAACACTTTGGCCTGAGATTAGCGATAGAGACAAGAAATGGATTTTGAATATAGGGATCAGTTGGATTGATCTATTTTATAATCTGTCTGGATACGTTCTCATTAATCACAATTGTGACTAAAGTTAAACTATTCTTAAATATTTGTTTAATACTTACATGTACATATACTTACACCACCATATAATTCTACATTTAATATTTAGATGAAATGTAAATTAAACCGTTATTTGGTCTTTGTGAGGGTGTTGGGTGAAATGTAAAAATACGGCTATCAAGATACTGAATAGAAGTTTTATAATCTATTTTTTATACTATATCCGTATTTTCGTTTTTTGAAATCTATATAGTTACATTAGAGTACATTAAAAAAGGTCAGGAATACATTAAAAGGGGACAGGAAGGAACCTATCTACGAATCTGAGTTCCGGGTCGGATTGATTTTCTTGTAACACATTTCCCATGGCTGTCAGACGTCTTCACTCCTTACTGAGCAAAGTGTCTTTTCTCTGTTTGCTCTCGTGTTGCGTTTTCGTGAGTATTTCAAAGACTCGGCATTAGTCAACAGTATATTCCTTTAAATTATGGCTTGAAACAAACTGTTTAAGTGGGTTTAGCTAGCTTAGCACAGCTAACTATCCTTGCTTTGCTATGATTCAGAGTCACTAGCTAGCAAACCAATAGCCAGCTGAAATAGAGTGATGCCGGCGCGACTGAAATGACCCGATTAATTGAAGCATTTATTGATTTAAGCGAAGTAATTATCACTACCTTGATTAATAAATCAGTAAGTTAGACCTCACATTGCATATCAGAGTTAGCTTTTGTTGTAACGTTTTCAGACACAAAAATGTATAAGATGTGGGGTATTTTAATGTATGTGAGCTGTAGACTGTCGAAGTTCTTGTCAAAAGGTGTTTTTAGATCTGCAGCTCTGAGTCAGGTTGATGTTGACATATTAAGTTCTCGGTTTTGTAGATCTTCTCTGTTTCTTAGGTTAAATCTAGCGACCACATGTGTGTATTTCTTTTGTTTGGTGCAGAATGTCTTTCCATGTTGATGTGAGCGTATTCTTCTTCGTTGGCAACTCCGCAGATGTGATGTCAGATAAGCGTCAGCGGGCCAGAGTCCAGGGCTCCTGGGCCAAACAGCTGCCAAAACAACCTCGACCAACCGGTAATTTAACGCTCAAAGTTTGTATTTGTGTATTGGTAGAATATGACTCCCTCTGCCTGCTCCTCATTATTCATATCTACAGTTATTCACAACCCAGGACGCTGGATTATTAGCCATGTTAACTAGTGGGATAATGTAGACAACAGCTTTGTTATGTGTTTATTTTTTTTACCAGGTGCCGTCGCAAACAATCAACCAACCAGAAATGTTAACCCAGAGCCTAATTCATGGGGAAGTGGGCCACAGAACACCCCTAAGACATTTGAGTTCCATCAGCCCACCAAGGTAGACAGTCGCTCAGAGCTTTTACAACCTATTAGAATGTTTTATAAGGAAATGCTCACTCTCTTTTCTGTATTGTCTTCATTGCAGCAAGTTAGAGGTGTTCCTCCGGTGAAAGTGATCGAGTAAGTGGCGCATTTATATCCTCACTGGTGGAGAAAAGCAGAAATGTCATCAATTTTTTCTTTCTCGAGGTGTGTGACATATTGGCTTGTTATTCCTTTGCATAATAAGCACATGTTGGCTGGTATGCATTATTTTGTTCTTTCATAGGCAGGCAGGTATTCATGAGATCAGCCATGGACCATCGGGAGTGTCCAGGTGACAGCACTTTTTATATGAAAAAACACCATTAATATCAGTGACAAAAAGTGGAAAATAAATAGTGACCGAACCAGTGTGTTTGATCGTGGTAACAAATCTTTGCATACATTTTAGGTCCAGCAGATGGCAGTCATCCTACAAGCAACAGATTATATAGCACTCAAACACTGCTGTGAACACTTTATTTCACTATGATATGCAAATCCCTCTTTAGTTGGTCTGCCTTAATAATCATGGAAATTAGCTTTTCAGACTATAATCCAACTAAGTTTCTCTGGTTCACTATGCTTTTTAATATTATTTTGGGAGAAGTTCATGCGGTTTTATGTTTCCATCTGCCCAGACTGCGATTGCTTCCCGGGTTTATTCCCCCAGAAGAGGCTGATTGGATGTTCAGTAAGCTGTTAGCAGAGCTTCCCTGGTCCCAGAAGACCAACTACAGACAAGGTGTGTACCAGGTCCTTGAAATGTGAGCCCATGATGTAAGCTGGAGGGTGAACATGTTTCCCCCATTGCAGAGAGTTTGCTGTTCTAGTTTGATTGTTTAAGAAATGTTTATGGTGTAGAGACCCTTTTTGCTTATCAAAGTGAGGTCCCCTTGGTTGGTGTTTTTACGCGTTTAAATACTTCAGACATTTCCACTTGTTTTTAATTGTCCTTTATTTTGTTCGTTAGTGACAGCATCAAATTATCTTCTACATCATATCATTTACATGCCTCTTCCACCCTGTCACGTTCACTCTGTCACGCTCCTCGCTCACTTTCCACGGTCAAAAAACTGTTCAGCTTCCCACCAACACCTGTGCCAGGTTGCACCTGATTATATTGACCTTGTGGCCTAATTGAAACACAACCTCCCACCACCTAAGGGATGGAGCTGACAATCGAACAATAACAAAAAAGGCTCTTACAAATGATATGCTAAAAAAATGAAGTCTTTAAGGCCACAAATCCTCAAAATCTTGTTTAACACCGTAGACAATGTGGATCAACCGCATTAAAAAAATTAAATAGGCATTTTAGTACATAGGATCTAAAGAAAAATGTTTTTCTCATATACTAAATATTTATGTGTTTGCTATACATTTAAAAACTTTATATTTTATTATTACTTTCTTTTACATTGTTCTACCTTTTTTTTTTTTTTACAATGCGGACATATAAAAAAAAATGTTAGGAGAAGATGGTAGACAACAGCAGAAACTGCAGCTCCGTCTCCTTCACGTGCGTCAGCCGTGCAATGGCTTCATTTCCCAAAACAGTCATCATCTTCTACCTAAAGGAAAGAACAGCTCTCATTGTGCCCTGGCAGCCTATCATTAGGCTGCTGGGCTGCAGCCAGACTTTGCCTCAGAATCAGCCTTTCTCTCAGCTGGCTCTCGTCCATCTTGTGTGTTACTCTGCGATCGCTCCGGTGTGGACAAACTGCCCGATAAAGACAACAAGTGGCCGAGGTGATTTCCAAACCGATCACGAAGTTGTGTAATCTCAATACATCTCTCCTGAGACTTAACCAAGTCCACGTAATGTTTGGGTTCAACAGTAAGAAGTGGAAAATGATGTTAACCCATCACCAGTTTCCCCTTTCTATTCTATTCTCTTCATCTACATTTTTATCAGAGTCTGTGCATGAGTTGAAGTTTTGTTAACCGTTTCCCCCTGAGAACATATTGGTAAACGTAAGGCTTTTGAAAGTTGATAAATGACCACACATATTTATGAGTGATCAGCGGCAGATTGTTTTGGTTCCACCGTGTTCTCGTCGCAGAGGGCAAACTGTTTTAATAGCACTGAATTTGTTGTTGGAAGAGATGTTGTCCTGAATAATATGAAAAGGGTCCCCAGCTGCTATAAAGGAGAACATGTTGAGTATCATAATCATGGGCTGCAACGTGCCGAAACCACTCGTGAGGCGATTGTTCTATTTATCAATCAATAAATCATCACCACATTCATACATTGAAATCTCATTGCATTTAGAGTTATACAAATCGGAAGGATAAATAATTGCAGAACGCGTGGACTACTGTAACTGTCTCCTGGCAGGTCTCCCTGCTACCGTCATTCGACCTCATCCAGAATGCAGCAGCTCGACTGGTCTTTAACCTTCCGAAATTCTCCCACACTCCTCCACTCCTCCGCTCTCTTCACTGGCTACCGGTGGCCGCCCGCATCCAGTTCAAAACATTGGTGCTCACGTACCATGCTGTGAATGGATCGGGTCCAGCTTACATCCAGGACATGGTCAAACCCGACATCCCGACCCGCACTCTCCGCTCTGCATCTGCTAAACTACTTGTCCCTCCCTCACTGAGAGCAAAACACTCGACTAGATCAGAACTCTTTGCTGTCTGTGCGAAAATGGTGGAATGAGCTCTCTGAAGACACCAGGAACCCAGAGATTCTTCACATGTTCCACCGCAAACTCAAGACACACCTCTTCAGACTCTAGACTTACCTTGACTAAAAACACTAACAAATTTTACACTTAAGAGCCATTATAAGTACAATTTATCTATAGCCAGTTGTAGATCGTCTTATTTGATGAAATTGCACGTTCCTGTTTCTTGTTCTTCTGGCTTTGTATCCTTATGGTTAAATGCACTTATTGTAAGTCGCTTTGGATAAAAGCGTCTGCTAAATGACATGTAATGTAACATTTTCATGCTGTCTATTGTATATATTGTGTCCCCACCGATATTATAGTTTGAGTAGTTATATAAGACCGGGTTGCAGATAGAGGCTGTTGAATATCCACACCGATATCTGTCTCCTGGGGCCTCATTTATAAACGTTGCGTACGCACAAAAGAAGGCGCACGCCGCTCTCTACGCAATAATTGGTATTTATAAAAAGCAAACTTGACGGAAAAATGTGCGGTCCTTCACGCAAGCTCGGACCCATGCGTACGCACAGAAACGGGTGAAATGAGAACCGTCTGCAAATGCAAGAAACACGCAAACGTGTGTGAAAGTGTGTAAAACTAGACTGTTGTAAAAGAAATGCCAATACTGCCTCTTATAAATAACACAAACACCCGTTTGATCGATCTGCAGCGTAAAACAAACAAATTAAACAAATTAACACATTTTCAAAAAGAAAATATGTTCTGCAATAATATCGGTATGTTATGCAATTCATCCTCAAACACAGCTGTTGCTTGTCAGATGCAATCAAATGGACGGTAACAAAATGACGCTGATGGCTGATCTTGCGCTCTTGGATGATGTGGCACATGGAAGGATTCGCGCTGTAGTGCAGCGCACCATCGGCCTGTTTAATGGCAGACGGCGCTGCCTCAACTGCACTGGAGGGAGGTCATTGTTTACTCCTGATAAGGTGTGCAACATCGTGCTGGCGTGTGCTGTGCTACATAATGTGGCACAGCTTCCAATCGTGCCTCGAACCCCCCTGACGCCGATGTTGGCCCAGACCCTGTCCCCGATCCCCAATCATTGCCGCCAGTCTTTCATCAAGAGATGAGAGATGTCTCCGATGTCCCCTTTCCCCCACCCGGGGCAGACACACTTTGGCGATGGCGCGCTAAACGCTTTTTTGCCTCCACTTTGATGTCAGACCATTTTTTCTTTATTTCGGCCACGGTCCGAGGTTGTGAGGCTGCAGCGTTGCTCTGCAACCTTTTGCCACTCGAGTGCCTTTTTGGCATTAGTGATGTCCACACTGTGCCCTCCGAAGAGCAGTTCACTTCTCCTTGCCACCTCGCCAATGATCATTTCCACTTCACACTGAGTGAAGTTACGTTTCTTCGTTTTCCTCTCAGTGTTTGTCATGATTTCGCAATCGATGAATATTCATTTGTGGGCAACTATCGGCGTGACATGAAGCCGCAAAAGCTGCGCTGCATTAAGAATTGATTGTGATTTATTAAGGGAAAACTGCGTAGGACGTGCGTGCGCACGGTTTTATAAGTCTGAATATTTCTTTGCGTACGCACGTCCTATGTTTCATCCGTACGCCACTTCTTGCGCAAATCCTACGCAAGGTTTTATAAATGAGGCCCCTGGTTCTTTTGAAGTAACTGTGTATTCGTTTGTGTTGTTCCAGGTGATGCGTACGAGGAGCCCAGGCTGACCTGCTGGTTTGGAGAGCTGCCCTACACGTACGCGCGCTCCACCCTGGCTGCAAACACACAGGTTGAATAAAGTCATTAAAGCCACAACATTTTCTACACATTTATCCAATGGAATATTTAGTTTTGCTTCACTTTTCCTGCCGCTGTCTCATTTCTCATTATATTTTCTCTTAGAATGTTTTATTTTGTTAAATGCATTTACATTTATTTTTCTTCACAGTGGCATCCGTCGCTGTTGACGCTGCGCGGAGCGGTGGAGCAGGCGAGCGGCTGTGGCTTCAACTCGCTGCTGTGCAACCTGTACCGCGACGGCCACGACAGCATCGGCTGGCACAGCGACGACGAGGCCTCCCTCGGCCACAGGCCCACCATCGCCTCCCTCAGCCTGGGAGACACCAGAGTGTTCGGCGTCCGCAAGCAGCCTCCCCCGGTGAGATGGGGGCCGAGCGGGACAGGCCGCTGCTTCTGTTCATTTAGAAAGAACAAAAGTTGCGTTATTAGAAGAGTTGAAGTGAATTTGATTTGTGTGTGTGCGCTTCACTCTTTTAGGAGGAGAATGGCGACTACACTTATGTGGAGCAGATTCGGGTTCCTCTCAGTCACGGCACCCTTTTGGTGATGGACGGTGCCATGCAGGACGATTGGCAGGTGAGCTACACCAATCAAATGCAAGGGCCCATGCAGGCAAAATGTCCACTGGTTAAAACACCGGTGACAGGTTTCGGTTACTTGTATTTGTACCCGTATGTTTGCAATAGAGCGCAAAAGGATGCATCTCGACAGACATTACAAACAACACAGATCACGAGACAAACATGATAAACGGATCAGAATCGGGCAGAAAGGGCTGCAACTAACGATTATTTTGATAATCGATTAATCCGTTATTTTGCAGTTACTACCTGAGCTCACTTCTTATGGCCTCTTCTGTTTATAACAAAACTAACATGTGATCCAGTTTATCCTGTAATATATATATATATATATATATTACTAAAACTGCTCTGTAATAGCAATGGTATCTAACATTATGATAGAATTACTATCAAAATGATAACATACTCCAGTGAATAACATTAGCTGATCATTTATTTAAGATTCTGGTTCCTGCCTTTTTTAAAATCAGTACAGAAATAGTTAAAACACTCTATGCTCTCTATTTAACTCTTTGACATGAATGATCCATAACCTCATTAAGCCCAGGACCTTTACAGTAAATAATCATGAGCTGATGACCTTATCTGCCTCAGACAGGTGAATTCTGGGGGAACATTGACTTCACCTGTGTGTGTGTGTGTGTGTGTGTGTGTGTGTGTGTGTGTGTGTGTGTGTGTGTGTGTGTGTGTGTGTGTGTGTGTGTGTGTGTGTGTGTGTGTGTGTGTGTGTGTGTGTGTGCAGATTAAAAAATGTTAGCAGAGTATTTCTGGAGAAGATAGAAGACAACAGCAGAAACTGCAGCGCTCTATTTGGACGTGCGTTAATCGTGCAACGGCGTCATCATCTACTTAAATGAAAGAATAAGTCACTTTTCTTTTAGGTGGTCATGCTGAAGAGTAAGTGGAAACTAAAAGGGGGGGGGGGGTGTGAAAGGGAAGATCGAGATCTACAAAGACGGTGGAGCCGCCGCATAAAAGAAACAAAGAAAAAGGGAAAAGGTCACATGTGTTTTATGGCGACACCTCTGAGTATCTCCACAGAGGTTTTATCTCTCCTTTAAAGATGTTACCAGAGAAAGAAGATCACACCATCCATTAATTATTCCACCGACACCTCAATTACAGTCCCCCTCCTCCAATAAAACTCAGCAAGAGAGGTTTGGAAGTGAGCTCTAAATATTTAACCAAAGGATACGAGGTTATTTCTGCCTGTTCTGATCCTCCAATTCAAAAGGTTCATAAATAACTAATTAAATGTTTAGGCTGTGGAATTACAGACAATGTTTCAGTGCTGTTTTTGGAAAGGAGAATAACTGCCTTTTACCCTGCGTGTCCGATGGTAAGAAAATGGTGTTTGTTGTCAAACAAAAATATGCCACCATGCTCTAGGAACTCCTTTTAAAAAAAATCGTGTAGTCATTTGATTAGAAACAGAATATATAGATAGATCGATACTAATTGTTTGACCATGGACCAAGATAAAAAACAGCTAAATAAAATTCCATCGAAAGCCAAATGCTCATTTGAACAAAGCGTCTGAGCCAGTGTTTCTCAAAGGGAGGAAGGGGGTTCTTCCGGTTTCTTCATGCAGAATTCTTTTAGATGATTATACGATAGAAAATTGTATCCGTCTCCACCAGCATCAAGTGGCGAAAGAGTACCATGACCGAGGCCCACGCATCAACCTGACCTTCAGAACCATGTACCCCGAGCCAGAAGGCCACAGGCCGGGTACCAAGCTGCGATTCACCAACCAATCATAAACCTCCCCTCGGAGACCGGTACACACCGGCATCCAAAGCTCCGGTCCACACATTGTTTGCCCTGAGGGTTGGAGTATGAGCACAGCGTACCTTTAACAAGTGATGGAGAGATTTTGTGAATGCGTCACTACAACTTACAATAAGAATAACTGCTTCTTACTATTTAAAACCTGAACCGTGATGACTGAAGTCGTAACCGGTGATGATGATTAGAGACCTGTGTTTGGAGAGGCGCCACACAGAAGAAGTGTTCACAATGACTGTTTGAGGACTGGGTATAATTTATTTTTATCTGCACAGTTTTGTTTTGTTACAGTCTTTGGTTAGTGTTTCTGACTAACTTTGAGAAGTCATGAAATTGCCTTAATGAATCACAGTGTCCCTTTGACCGTAAAGAAAGTCACTGCTGACGCATGGTTCATGTTCCATTCTGATATTGTGACGCTGAGATGCAATAGATGTTCCACATTGCTGTTTTGAAATAAAAATATTTTCTCTGAATCCACTTCCATTTTGTTCTAATTTCCAGGTAAAACAGATGTTTTTCAATCAGGTATAGAATATATTTCTTTACTTAGAATTGAATTCCACCTCTTTATTTTATATCGGCATTGATCTTTTCTATGGGACAGAGAAAAGACCACGAGGTGTGGAATGTTTGTCATGAAACAGCCTTCGTGTTGGCAAAACACAGGAGGCGGAGGAAGGTTCTCGCCAGGACCTCTGAGACCAAACGGATCATGTGTCCGTTGTTGTAACTGTACCCAAAAGATGAGCTTGTTTTTTGTAATAACGCTTGTTTCACGTTGAGATTTTAGAATCCTGTGCAACAGCAGTCACAAAGCAAAGGACACAACAAGTGCTGCCTCTCACTTTTAGGAATGCGTGCAGGCTTTTAGGTTTGTCTTAGATGAACATTAGAAAGCTCAGTGTCTGTCCTTTTTGGAAATAATAGACGAGTCACTTTCTCACTCCAGTTAAAAGTCACTTTTTCAAACAAGACTAAATGCCGTCACCTTAAATTCAAATAACCACAGATACATCCAACTCTCATTGTAATGTCTACACTGTCCTCAAAAGCATCTTTGTTTCCACTGGTACTTGTAGTGCATCTGATAGTGACAGATGTTAAATGAGAACACTGACGGGCAGCATTATTTCTCAATAATCGCAGAAGCAATGGCCACCGGGTCCAGGATCAGCCGACAGTGTCGTGACTGCTCGGTCAGCAGGGACTCTGTGGGTGAAGCCCACGGCGTGCTTTTCAAACTGAACGCCCACTCTGAACTGCAGCCCCGATTCTGTGCCCATTAAAGAGTACAGCGGTCACAGTAACCATGACAACAACTTCTTTGGCCGCCCCTTGTGACTCTTGCCTCGCTTGGGTCTGCCGATGTCTCGCAGTCCTGCATGTGAGCCGTAACCTTTCCCACAATCATACTGTGCAATAATAAGATTATTTTTCCCTGTGTGTGGGTCTGTGTTGTCTCACTTCTTCCTCTTCTGTGTCCATACAGTGTATCATTCCCATCTGGGTGAGTTAATGAGGAACAGTAAATGCAGCAGGTTGTGTATTCGCTCCCAGGCCGTTTGTTGGTACAGTGCACGAGAGAGTTGTGCCATGCTGTGCAGGACTACTACTGGCTCGTTAGTGAGGAGCCCCGAGGGGCGGAGATCAGGACATTTAGACACAGTGCTGAACGCGCAACGCGTCTGGGATGAACGTCTGAGAAAGCTTTGGCCTTTCAAGCCATCAGGGTTAGTGCGTTTTTGTTTGCGGCATATTTTTTGGCAAATTGTTAAATGGTCATCTGTACACCTGTAGCCTTTATCGTTCCCACATTATTTAAAGGGATTTAATACATTTTTATTGTTCTGTTATATTTAGTCGACTGCAATTATCTTCAAAGCAGCCCGAACTGTTTTTTATCAACAATGATTCAATGACTGTCCTGTATGAACTGTGTCACTGGTTATCTAATTATTCACTCTGCAGTGGAGCGTTTTAACTTCATACTTTCCTTATGGTTCAGTCTTTCAGCTCTCAGCTCTCATCAACCCGACGCTGATGCTGCTTTTAAGTGAACCAAATCTTACGCTTCAAGGTTTTCAGTGTTAAAGCTGCAGAAAGCCTTGATAGAAACAATTGACATTAACGTAGCTAGACTTAAATAACGTGAAATATGCATCTGTTTGCATGTGGTCATCACGTCACTCATATTTAAACATTGTGTTCCTGTGTCCACATCTCTTTTTCCCGCTGTGTTGTTGACGTTTGCCCACTTGGAAAGGAACTTGGCACGCTACACGATAGCTAAGTAACAAGCTGCCCGGCATTCCTGTGTTAGCCCCTGATTTCACGTTCCGGATCCCGACACCTGCTGTGCTGAGCCGGGAACATTTGGGTTTACGGGAACCTCATCGGGTTCTGGTAGCCGCTCCCTCGGGAGCCTCCGCGTGGATCACACTTCATTAGGCCACAGTCCAGCAACGTTTCCTGTTCACCGCGGATCTCCAGCCTCTGAGTCTCACAGTAGCAGACCGGGTTTCATTACAGAGCTTTAGTTCTGTCGCCGGACATTGTGAATATCCATCGGGACATCAGAGTGGGCGCTTTCTCTGAGCTGTGGTTGATTATGTGGTCGATTCACTGCCTCTGAACTCTTATCCTGTTACTTGAATGTTCAATATGTTCCAATTTTTTACCAGTCAATTCAAAACCTTGCTTGAGAGGTTTGGATTTTTGATTTAAAGCCTCAGGATTATTTGCAATAACTTTTGAGTTCCCTTAGCATTTCTTCTAAACATCACATTTTTATTTGTCTAATACTTTTATTGATAAACAAAAATTGATTTAAAAAAAAATGTACATGCAGGCACACGTCCAAACTTTTTTGCTAAACAAAGTAGCCTCACCTGGAGGGTTGGAGCGAGCCAGCATGCACGAGCCATGCTGTATTATGGGAAAACGGCAGGTGCTCATAAATACTGGTTGCACGGTGCAGGCGGCTCGTGTTATGTTTACCAATCACAAGTTGTGTGTGTGTGTGTGTGTGTGTTTAATATATCATCATATATCGTATCAGATGTCATGCTGCGATTTGCTGGGAAGCTGCTCTGAGAACGACTTGACCGATTCGCTTTACCCTCCCATATCCATTCCCCCTCCTCCCTTCTCACCCCTCCCAATCTCTCTCCTTCATCATGCCTCCTCCTCCTCCTCCTCTCTGTCTTTTATAATCTTCTCTGCTCTTTTATGCGGCTCGGTCCAGTAGTGTTGTTGGTCGGGTCACAGTCCGCTGCCTCTCTCTCCATGGCGACCTCTGGGAGCAATAAATGGATGTCTGTCTCCCTAAATGTGTAAACTCACCTCACAATCTTTCCCTGATGCTGCCATTTTGGATTTAACAGAAAACACGAGCTTGTCATCAGTGGCATCTTGATGACATAAGAGCTGGTGCTAAATGCACCAAAGGTCACACCTCACAAGCTGAACACGTTTTTGTCCACACGCACAGTGGTAACAACTCTTATGAAGAAATGCACAGGCATAATCAACATTAGCAAAGCATTTGATTAATTCTTGTGCATTGACGTGAATGTAGTAAACATGATCTGAGATGGATCTACGCTCTTCCCAAATGAAATAAACAAAGCAATGGAGCAAAAATAGCACCGCTTATTTGTGGCCCTGAACACGTCATTCATCCGTGTACATGCACATGGTCTCACTGCATAAACAGACTATTCTCGCGTGGGAATCCTTCCTAGTCTCCAAGTCTTGGTTTATAAATAACCGTGTTTTTCTTTTGGTGTCTTACTCAGTCTCCAGAAAAGGTGGGGGGGGGGGGGGAGTTAGCGTGTCCATTGATTTACACTAATGTTCCTGCAGGCGCTGGAAGGGATTTCAGGGTTCCTTAAAGTTTTTACTCAGTCAATTCTCAAGGAATTCATACCTGGGCTGTTGTGTTACTCACCAACTTGGGTTCCCCTCCTCTCGGCTGTCCCCTGATATTTGGGTTGCTACGGTAACGGAGGCGTCCCATCTCGGTGGGTACCGGGGGATTGGCCCGTTTGGGAATGTGGCCTGCGGCGTGTACCTCACCTCCTGACCCCACGGGCCTGGATGATGGATTTGCCTCGATGTTCTCTCCCTCTTTCTTACTCTTTTTTCTTTCTTTCTGAATCTTTCTCTTCCCCTTCAGACACTTGGAGGTCTGTTTGCAAACCAGACTAATGTCAATATTTACATTCTTTTTTCAATTTTTTCACTGGTCTTTGTCAACAGGTGTTTATGTTGTTTAACTTAATAAATACTACATATAATACGTACTTTAAATCTGTATTCAAGCAGAATGAAAATACATGGAAATATATAAATTCCAAAACACACAAGAAAAACTTTTCTAAAATATATTATTTAAACAGTGATGATTTTTTTTTTGACAACCAAGATTGTTTCAGCAATGTGTTCATGTAATCCAGATAACTACAACACACGAACCCTCTGTTCACAGGGACAAGGTAGTCACGAGTGTACTTACACACTATACACAGATAGAGCCTGACCTCTGTGGTCCTGTGTGTAACTGCTGTTCTCTCTGACTTTGTATGTAAGTGTGCGCCTTGATTAGAAGTGTGCGGCACAGTGAGTCCCGTTGGATTTTGATTGCACAGGTGCAGATAATTGCTGTGTTGCATGAGGCCACCGCGACCCCGACCCTCCTCTGAGTATGATCTCAAAGGGCTCCTTCAGTTTTTAACATCTAGGTGTCATGTTCTTTTGGGTCTAAGTGAATAATGTTTGTTCAGTATTGAGGTCAAACAGGCTGCATTGATCACAATAGCCCACTTTTATCCGCAGGGATCATAAGTAGCACCAGTTCATTCTCTGGGGACCACGAATGTCTACGAAGGCTTATGTCAGTCAATCATAAGGACATTAAGTGTCCCTTATAACAGATAAATGTGCACCTCTGTTTTTTGTCTTATCTATTTGGTTCAGCACATACTGTCACCTGGACACTAATTAACACGCAGTGAGTGACACTAACGCTCGCAACGCCATTTAATTAAATCAAACTCATAAAAATCTATTCTATATTGAGACACACGCCATTGCCAAATCCTTATCACGGCCTACATCTACATCGGTGTGTCTTCCACGTCAATTATGCTGTGAACTCCTACACTAATCCCTCTCATTGAGCCCTGTGAGCTCACACGGGCGTTCCGTACACCCCCCCCCACCTACACACCAATGAAGTGGAACCTGGTGAAACGCGAGACCGCCTGTTAATGACACCATACGCCCTTGTGTCTGACCAGGACTGTTACATCTATATGCACATATTATGTCACTGATACCGGCTCTATTAAGCTAAACTGAAGCTCCTTTAAAAGGAACTTGTAAAAAGTTATTAAAATCTAGTTAATCAGGAAACCCGTGTGAAAACTATTGCATGCAAACAAAGAACGTTTCTATTTTATACCTCTATGTTTTAAATAACTTGTATCAGTGACATAGTGCCGCATTTCTTTGTGCGGCACTATGAATCAGAGCTGTCATAACTATAAAGTAATGAATGTATTTGTATTTGTTCTTCGCATATCTCTACAGTTCTTCCGGTCTACTTCACTCTTCGTTGATGTCACAGACTTGTTCAATATTAAAACACATTGAATGAACTAGTGAGTTTCGTGCAGCTGCACATCTGGAGCATGCATCCTGCAGCGGCGCTATGTGTTCCTCGCATGCAGTTCCCTTTTGCTGCTATATGCTGGATGTGCTAATGTCACAACCAAACTAAATTTGCAGTAAAAACACGAACCAACATGCTAAAATGGGATAAAAACCTTAAAAAAATATGAACAAGGTAACGTTAGAAGAAATAGACGGTAACAGTTAACAGCAATATCCATAAATGAGAAACAAACAAACCATCGTTAATAGGTTTGTGCTTGTCGGGGTGTGTGTGTGTGTGTGTGTGTGTGTTTAAGGTGGGCCAAGGGTGGTTAAGGTGATCACAGGGAGGAAGGGAGGGGATTTTTTCTCAGCTGCCTCTAACCATGTTCCCTGACGAAAGTATTTCGCCCCAAATGCCATCAGCTGTTGAATAGGATGCAGGATGGATTTTAAAATACTTGCAATTACGTTGATGAATCTGGTATTCAGATGTGAGAGGCACCAGAAAACAAGTCCATTCAACGTGCATTTCACATGATGAGCAAACACAGGAATTGTGTTTAGTTTTGATCTTTGACTTTTTTGTGATGCAGAAGGGAAATAAAAAATGCCCCAATTGTATTGAAATGCTACAGGAAGCAATGCAAACCTTGACTTGCTATATGATGAGATCACACAAGAAGACACAGAATCACAAGACCATGTGGAAAGGCCAGTTTCTTTATTGAAAGAAGAGCAAATGATGGTCCTGAAGGCTTCTCTGGATGGAAAAGGCGTTATTTTTTTTTTAAACACCTGCACTTTAAGATTGTTCTGTAACAAACCATCTGGTAGGTCAAGTTACTGCAAACAGGGATTTAACCGACATCTCCTCACAAACACCAACCAATGGCAACTGAATCATTTGAAATGATACAAGATGAAAACACAAGTGCTTTAATGTTAAAGGCCGGCTGTTGCTAATGAGATAATATTCTAACGGGCTATTATTTAGGATTCATCTATTTTAAGTGAAGCTTTTAACAGCTGGGATTGAAAGATAAGTGCAATGCTTTTCTAGATTGTTTTTGCCAAATCATGTCCTTGTGTGCAACCCATGCAGTCTTGGCAGGCTCTTTTTGGAAAACAAGGCTTCCCCAGGGACACACACACACACACAGTTCCTGCTCAGAACACTTTTCCCCACAAGCATGTAAAAAAACAAGTACGCTAAATGAACTGTTTGGTTCTTATGAAATTAAAGAATCAAGCATGGCCATGAATATTCATGTATTGATATCCACCCCCCCCTCCCCCCCCCCCACACACACATATGGGGATCCCAAATGTCATGTGATGTCAGTTGCCTAACAGCTGCTGGCATGATCATGGGTGACCTTATATCTACTCAGAATAGAGCAAGGAGATATTTGCACTGAATGTGGGGTTGTATTCAGTGCGTGTGTTGTGTGTGTGTGAGTGTGTGCATAGGAGAGAGGAAACAGGATGACTTACCCTCCTGTGGTGTCATCTTGCATGACGAAACCGGAGGAGCCTTTTTTAGGCCACTGCGTCACTCCTTAAAACTCGGCAAAAGTGGCAAAGAAAAGCCGGTGAGGTCATCCCTTAAAACACAAAACAGCTGTCACTGCAGTGGACTCACATTAGGACGCACACGCCACTGCCTGTGATGCTACAAGTTAATATTAGTAACTACGGGGGACACACGGGTCGACCCGTTGAGTTTCTGATGTTTGTTTACATGTTGCCCACTGGGACCGTATATGGCTTTACAAATCTAAAGCTAAGTCATGCTTTGTAAAAAAAAAACTATGTTCATTACCCTTTTTCCTTCAGATACGAAACTGAAAGTGAGTGTGAGCGTACACAGATTTCTGCCACTGATCACATGACCACATAGGTCACGCATGAGAGAAGAAGATCTCCACGGGGACACAGCTGCAGCATGAACGCAACCGACGTGATAATGGTCACAGACTTATATTCAATGTATTCATTAGGACTTAAGTGTGAGAAAGTATCACTGCAAAGCTGATTAGAGAAGTGCAAGCAGTCATGATGTATTCACAGCCTTCATTTGGCACGCTGGGACGCTTCCACAGCCGTGAGGGCAAGGTGCTTTGTGGTCGTCCGTGAATGTGCTGACGGATGCCAAATGTCTCGTTGCAATGAGTCGCTTAGGCTGCCAGGACATCATTAGAATGTTAAAAGTGGTCACAATGAATGGCTGTTAAGCCACAATGTCGCGCTTCTGAGCTGAACTGCACGTTCTGGGTTTGCTCCGGTTTCTGTCTCCCAGTCCCAAATATATCCAAGCCCGGTGAATTTGTCTCCTTGCTATCATACGTTCAGCTAACTACTGGCTTATGTGTGGACGTACGCAGTGGTTGTACCAGCACGGGGGGCCGTTAATAACGCCCTGACTTGTTTATGTCACACACGGATGCCCATGTTTCCCTCCATCACTCACGTCCGAGTCAATTCAGAATAAAATGAACAATATAATGCCATGCAAACAGAAACACCACAACCCACAGACACCAAGAGCCACGGAGGTGAGTCAACACCTGTGTCACTGACTCAGCTTTACAAAGGTAGTTATTTTGCCTTCTGTTCTCCGGCCCATTTTCTATGTTCTTGAAACATGTATTTGCATGTAAGTGTAATCAATTTTACGTCTCCATCACCGTTTCTGATTCTCCCTCACACCTGAAAAATACGTCAAAGCCTCCTCGCCAAAACCCCCACGCAAACAGATATTCTCTCACCATATGTTTATTTTGGTGACTGACTGGATGTCTTGCTCTGAAGGCCTGCACCGTGACGGACAGGGTGGGAGGGGGGAGGGAGGGACCTGGCAAACAGGGAGTAGAGAGAGAGAGAGAGAGGGAGACACTGAGTGAGTCGGGAGCTACTATAAAAGGGAGTGTTGAAGCTGTCGTTGCATTAACTTCAGCAGACTGAGATCCACACAAACGCACAGAACGTGACGCGGGCAGAGAGAGAAGAGACTTGTTGAAACAGAAGCGCTCACATCGAGGCGTTGACCCGAGCGGTGACCTGTGAGACTGTCCCTCTCCAGTGCGCCTGGACCTGGAGGTGTTTGAGGGTCTGTTTGCTTGGCTTTGGACGAACTAAGACAGACACTTCTCTTTGAGTAGGACAGAGCACCATAAAGAGCAAGAAAGACGTCGGCCTGTCGTCCCCCAGCCGCGTCCTCGCTTGGTGTTGCATTGCATTTGATTCTTCGCTTGGGCTCCTGTCCTAACAATGGCTGCTGTGCGTCAGATGGTCATGGAGGCCTCCGGCTTCCACGTCCTGCCGGCCCACCTCATGGCCTCGGCCATGGAGGAGTTCCCCCAGCAGCTGCCCGTCCCCAAAGGCCCAGCGAGGGGCAAGAGCCGCTCCCGCCGACCTCGCGAGGCCCGCTTCAAAACGCAGCCGGTGACCTTCGCTGAGATCGCGGAGGTGGAGGAGGAGGGTTCCTCACCGCTGGAGGAGGAGAGGGCGCGCCGGTCCTTCCTGCAGTCCCTGGAGAACTTGCGGCGGAGCACGCAGGCCCTCCACTGCCCGCCAGCCGCCCAGCACGGCTGCAACCCCGCGCCTACGCAGGCCAGCCTGGACTCCAGCGACTCCGACTCCACCCAGTGAGGGTCGTAGGACAGGCCCGTCCGCCGCCACCCGCGCTCCCGGCTTCGCTTTCGACGCCGCTCCCAACCCGCCTGAGCTGAACCAGGCCGGCCTGCCTGCCTGTGTGTGTGAGCTGCTGCTGTCATTTGCATTTAATACTAACATGTCGACGTACGGGGCGTAGCTTGAAGACGCACGGGCCGGTTGTACTGCTGTATAGATGCGATGAGTGGGGAAAGTATCAGATGCCGCTGCGTCCAACACAGTCTTCAAATGTATTCCTTTTCTACGGTACACGTCAATGAGGAGAGCTTGAATGATGAAAGTCGGTTGATATTTTTCCATTTTAAAGTTGTGTCCATATTATTGGTTCAATCCAGATTTTTCTACTTGAGCTGCCACCATAGAAAGGACTGTTGAATTGATATTTTGATGAACCACACTGTAAATTCTTTGACCGAGCGACGGAAGTGACCTGGCAGTCACTGAAGCAGTAGAGTATCGTTGTGTTTGCTGAGCTCTCCTTTCCCAGCTGAAATCTCCTGCTTCAATTCCTGAGAAAATCAAAATGCCTTTCTAAATGTCTTTATTTATTCTCTTATTCTTGTTCATAACCAAGTGGAGTTGTAGATGTGATATTTTATTGCTCTTTCTGACTTCTGACGAGTCAACTTGACTTGAAAACAATATCATAAACTTTATACTTTATTGTTAAACTTTATACATATATATTACAATGTTCGCTACATGTACTTTAATAAATATTTTCAAGTATTTTGAGTCATTCTCTATTTCCATTTATTCTGTGACGTCTATTTGGGAAGTGCATTTTCTAAATGAAAACAAAAGTCAGCAATGAGTTGACACTAATTCTGATTTACTTCAGTATATCTAACCTGTGTGAAAAATCACCTGCAAGTGTCTCAACACCAGGACAACGGATCAGAGAAAACAATCTGCGCTCTTATCAGCTGACGTATGACGGAGACAGAATGGGGAATTCAAGACAGCGGGAGGTGTCATGTAGCATTTGCTGTGTTATTGTTCAGAAAACACGCAGCACTGGGTCGCGTCCACCACGCGTCCTTGCTGGGCTGGTGACGCACTTTCAGTAATGTCAGGGTGCCATCAGTCAGCTCCGCAAAGCACAGAACGTGATGAGAGAAGTGCCCCTCGTCTCCCAATCGACTCGGTGATGAGGGGAGCGTGATGCCCGACTTCCACCCCGGTGAGGGCAAGCAGCTCGCCGCAGACGGAGACGAGGCCGGAGGGGGCTTTGGGTCAGAACCTGCTCGGGTGGCACGTGGCTTGACTAAACATAGACTGCGATGGGGCACATTTTAAACAAGAGAGTGGACGTTCCTTCTCGACGTATGACGGCAAACTTATTGTCGACCAATCCTGTGAAAAGAGGACAGCCAACAATGGCCTTTGTTTTAGCCTTTTTTTCCCACTAAATGTCACGCTTATTAATGTGTGCAAAGAGCAATCAAAGCAAACCCTCGCTACAACCCCTGACCCAAACAAAGCACAACTGCCTTTTCTTAAACCAACAACCGTTACTTTCGTAACCAAAGACCAGCTGATGCCATAATGTCTCTTCCATCTCTCACACAAAAACAAACAGTGTTTGTCCAGTGCTTGTAGAGCTGTCATACTTGGCCACGTCCACTGCCTGTGTTTATGTGTGGCAACTCACTGGAATTATGCCACAGTTCGTCGTGTGCGTGGTTGATGGATTGATCCGGTTCAGACCCACACACTGCGCCTACTTTCTCCAGCTACCTGTGTATTTATGTTGCATGGGGACTGATTATACCCCAAATTTGGCCAGAATGATGAGTGATGATAAATCAAAAGCCCACTAAAAATAAGTTTTTCCCCCTTTGCTTTTGTTTTTTCACAGCTGTGAGATGTGAGCTGTGATTACACTCCAGCTCAATAAAGGTCAACCCATCACCTCTCAAAAGGTGAGAAAGAAACCAGACCTCAGCTGAGTCCAATAAGCAGTAAATCAAATCTTAAAATCAACAGGAAACCAGTGAAGAGGAGTTCAAAGAGGGTTCATGGGACCCTGCGATGTCCATGCTGTCTTTGTTAACATCCAGAGCAGCATAAAAGGGCCTTCGTCTGTTAAATAGAAGCATTTTTGTCATTTTCCCCAGACAAACAGCTTCCCAGTGCTGTTTTCATTTCGTCCTTCACTGTCTCCAATGGTTCCAGTCCGTCGAAGTGACGGACTATCGATCTTTCTGTCATTGTTTCGTCAATTCTGAGATTGCAGTGTCCGATTACTCGATGTCTGACTTTAAACCTGATGATGCAAAAGAGGAACTGCCAGCTTTGGACAAAAAAACAAACATTATAATCCCTCACAAAGATATATTACCATCACAGACGTTGTTTACGATTAAAACAACTGGGATTGTTTTTTATTAAGAATCACCTACTACTCTATTTAAACTAGGCTTCAAGATACAGACAGTGGATGCATGTACGAAAAGTCACGTAGCACAAAACAAACTGGATGTGTTTCAGTTTTTGTGAAAAGGATATCCTGGTCCTATGACAGAAATGTGTGTTGAAATCTGTATATTATCAAAAGGGATTTTGTTCATTTGATTACGTTATAATAGTCTGATTGGCTCCGGCTCTCATAATTTGTATTATATTATATTTTGTGTCCAACATATTTAGATTTTATTTGGCATCAGATTTCAACATTTGTAAAGCACACATTTTTCGAAATGTCCCCAAAAACCCAGCCTGTTTTTGTTTGTAATGCAAACACAAGCCAGGAGTGATTTTAGGGTCAATAAGGTCAGAACAGGCTGTCAATTTGACTTTCCCACTTCAGTGACTCAAAGAAGTGACTCATTTACATCTTGACAAAGCTACTCTGGTGATGTGCACTTGCGCACATATCAGCATGAATAATATCTGGTACCATAATTGCCTCTGTGCCAAACTAGAAGCATCTGCTCAGTGATTCCACAGTCTGGAGGACATTATGGGACATTATTCTGCTGTGTTTCTTCTTCCTCAGAACTTCATTTTGATGAATCTGATGACAATTGTAGCAGTGCATGTGTGATTAGCACTCCCACCTCTTAAAGATAATTTAACACTGTCTTGTCATGGTTGGTATTCTGTTTTAATATGTTTTTGTTCACCAAAATCCAGCTTAAATGGCATAGCGAGGTTTTTGACCAGTGAATGTTAAGATAAGTATTCTGCCCATCACGGATCAGAGCGGTCACATTTCTAGCTAGCTGCGCTAGCCTTCACAATGTTACCATCAGAGTGGAACAGAATTCTGCTTAAAAATAACTGTCAACTACCCAATGGGATAAACAGTTTGGACAACTCCTCATTACTGTAACAAACAGAATAACTTGTGTGAGCGCCTCAGAGACGTCCGTGCTAAATGAGCCCTTTGTGCTGGACGTGAAGTCAGCAGGCCTAAAAGCATCCTGGACCAGTATCCTGGGGTCTTCATCACCTTGATGGAGACACACGAAAGCAGAGTCTATTGAGCACGCTCCTTTTAAATGTATCGCTCTCCATTTCCAAGCTTTTTCTAAGCTCTTCATCTCCCCCTGGTGCTGTAGAAAAGAGGTGGTTACAGAACGTAACCCACTGAGATAAAGTGGACATGGCATATTTATTGATGTTTAAATAAATCTTTATTCTTTCTTACTTTACTACAACTGCTGCTGAACCATTTCCCTTGGCGTACATAAAGTTGTGTCTTATTTTATAGTGTTGCCTTTAGAGAGATATGTTACATGCCTCATCTAGATTTCTGTTTCCTAGGTTTTCCTAGCCCTAAAATATGTCCTAATATATATTCCAATCTGAGATTTCAAGTTGGAAATGTATCGTCTTCTACTTTTATGAAAAGTGTAAATCTATCCATTCCTGAAGGGTACTTTTAAAAAGCAAATGTAAACTTCTTCTTCTTACTAAAGGTAAGAAAGGGAGAAGTGGTCCTGGTCGATAGACCAGTATGTTTAGAACAATGCTAAACAGTAGCGAGCATTTATTACATAGAGCAATGTAACTTTACATAACGTATTACCAACAGGCTCAGGATTTAAAACTTAAATGTAAGTGATACGTGTAGCTATTTTGGAGGTTTGATTGACAGAGCATTTGCCCAATGGGAAGTTAACAAAATATTCCTGACCAATAGCCCAAAAGATGACGCTTTACTTCAGACCAATTAGCTTTTTGTTGTTGCAGTGGGTGACCAATCACAGCGAGGAGGCGGGCTTCTTTTCAAGGAGCGCGAACGGTTAAGGACAAACGACAGCGAGGAAATGGCGAATACAGACGAGTTTAGGTAGGGATTTAACGTAATATGGAAACTTTAAAACGTGTTGATACCTAAATAAGTTTGGGCGTGTTTCTTTACTACATGTGGTGCCATGTTTCGAAAAATGGTGAGCTCTCCACTTATGTCACACTAGTCAAAGCTAATTTTGTATCACGTAAACATGAGTTTTGGTAGCTACGCTAGCTAGCTGGCGTTAGCACGCTAGCTGGGAACATGAAGAGTCCTTCTCTAGCAGCTGTGAAGGCCCTCCCTATGCCTACACACAATGCTGTACAACGTACCGAATACAATTGACCAAGGCTGACCTGTGTTCATAGCATACCGTTGAGTTAAAGTCTCTGAAGACAGTCGGGGACACTGCAGTTTACGTTATGTCGCTACACAACTTGGTTTTTGTTATCGATGCGGATTATGGAGATCGCGATTCGGGAGATCAACTGGAAGTCAGGAATCGACTACTTAAAAGAGGAATATTACAAACACTGCTGCATTTTGGCTACAAGTATGGATTTGACAAAGTTCGATGGGGTTATAAATTCTTTCAATCCCAAACTGGTCGCAATGCTAGCGTCCTATCGAGGGGATCAGACTTTAAAGAGCTTCGCCACAAAGCGTTCGAGGACTTTGAAATAGAGTTTGAAGCCAAGTTTGACCTGAAGGATAAACCGTTCCCGACCCATCAGAAACAGCAGCACAACCATTCTGCATCTGTTCAAAATGCCCTCAAAGAGACCCTGCTGGACTTCCAGTGGGACAGACCAGACATCACATCTCCCAACAAACTGTCCCTGAGGCCCCGTAAGCCGAGCCGAGCTGGAAAGCCCAGCGTTTCACAGGAGGAGGATGTTTCAAACAACGGCAGGAATGTGGTGTTTATCGTGTCGGAGTGTCCACGTTCAAGGACGCAACTTGTGGACTATCTTTCTTTGGGAAAGAGTGAGCTGCCGACAGATGTGACGGAGCACATCATTCCCAGGGGCCTTCACGACATGCTGACTCAGCGACAGGTGGTGCTGCACTGGATTGACAGCAGATCACAGGTTAAGGTGAGTAGAGTGTAGGAGTCAAGAGTATTCATATAAGAAAACAAAATCGAAATGCTTAATTTATGTAACCATGTAACAAAGTTAATAACTAATCATTTCCTTATTAACAGCGTTGCTTGACCTGCATGATCAAGAAATTATGTCATGATCTTTATTCAGCCATTGTGAATTATGGAACCACACAAATCCCAAGAGGCTGTTAAAGAAAGTTAAAATTTCCACCGACTGCGAGCAACTTTGACATTCTGTCTCTCTGCAGATCATTTGTGAGGACCACCTCAGCCTTGACAAGATCCTAGCTCGGCTGGGCGGCAGGGTGATCCCCGTGGTTGCACTGCTGAACCTCTGCTCCAGTCAGAATCCAGACGCAAGCTTCAGGAGGGAGACGTTTACGT